CCCCAAAACCCCAAAACCCCAAAACCCCAAAACCCCATAAAGGAGAGATGCGGCTGAAACTCGATAATATTTATTTCTAATGAACATAACTCACCTTTGTTGTGAAGATCAAAGCAATGCAGCTTTATCATTCCCAGGTCCTAACGTAAGCTGAACAGAATAGCTCTAGCTTAGAGTTAAAGTGGAAATCAGTTGCTTTGTCGTATGCAGACAGGGTAATTAGCTGCTTCATAGATACATCTCTATAGAGAAAAGAATGATCAGTATTTACAAAGAGTATTATATTCTTGAAAGCTGAGCTTATTAGTGAACAATTTTTCTTCCTTTTCCTCAATGAATTTTTGAGATTTTTATAGGTGATAACAATTGCGCATAAATAAAACTAACCTCTCTATAGAAAAATTCAAAAATTAATCAATGCATTAGTCAGAAAGAGCATCTCCTCCCCAATGCTTCAACCAAGACCAAACAGATTTTTCAGAAATGATCTTTAAAGAAAAAGAAAATTGAAATTGAGGTTGACTACAGCTTCTTCAATGCTAACCTTATTTTCCATTCAGTTTTTGGAGAAATTGAGATGACCCAGCCCGGCTTCATTAATCCATTCGAAATGGAAATGTTTTCTCCATGCTTTATAACTGAGACTCCTCAAGTCCAAAGAGCAACACTCGAACCTTCAGTCCGAGTTGACATTCAGAGGCGAAAGATGCTCAGGACGATCAAAAGATTTTATTACGAATTCTTCAAGTTGCATAACCTCAGGTTATTCAATAGAAGACTTAAAAGAGTCGAGTCTTCTGTGATCCTTAGTTCGCTCTCAAAGTTCTGTGAAGTTTATGTTAGCCAGGCCCATGCAGAAGACATGGCTCAGTTTATGTTCAGATTTCTCAAACTCAACTGAGCAGACAATTTTGTGTCTGATTCTGAAGCTTCAATGGCTGGCCAGAAAGTGTATGACTGCACTTACAACTACAGCATCAACAAGTTCGACTCTTTGTTTGAGTCAGAGCACTTCAGGATACTCATACTATCATATTCTGAGCTGCAGCAGTTAAGAACACCAAACCTCCAAGAAATGAAGTCTCAGCGAAAATGGGTAAACCAAGTATATGCAGGAGACGGAGAATTCAGCAGAATCATCTCTCGATACTTGCATATGAACCCAGAGAGTAAGACAGCTGAGCATTTGATGGAAACACGGTATAGATGCAAGACTTACTAGCCTTCTAATTTAAAATTGCTAATCAACTTCCATAACATATTTATTCGGGGATCCAAAAGGTGCAGTTAATTTCAAAAGTTATATAATCGTAAACTTTTCTGAACTTGACAAAGTTTTAGGCTTCTGAATCTAACAAGAAAGACTCTTGAAGGGTGGTAATACCACTTATGAGATGTATGTCCTTTGCCTTCTCCTCTCATTTGCATAAAACTAGTTGATGAATGAATAAAGAGTTAAATTTATAACTGCAAATAAGTTTGCTCACTTTTGGTCTGACATTAAACAGTTTATTCTCAACTTTCAAATAACTTTCAAGTGATGTTTTACTTAATCAGTAAGTTAAAGCTACAAGTCAGAATTGATTCTCCTTATGTTTGGCTCTTAGCTTTTTTAAGAACAAGTCTTATTAGAGAAAATTAAGGAGTTTTTTCCTAATAGCTCTTATAGTTGGAGAAGTTTAAAACTTAAGAAATATTATTGGAACTTGCAAAATTAATAATTTTCTATTAATTAATCTGCCAGAAATTATGAAAGATATGTAAACTCCTTCACTTGGCAAGCCTCTGTTAAAATCATGAGCAAGCCTCTATACTAGCTGATATATAATCTTAGATAGTCTTTCCTCTATCTTGATGAAGTATTAAGTAAATTTGACAAAAACTGGTGAATCAGATATATAATTAGATGTATGATATTAAACTTTTTTTAAGCGAAGACTGTCTTGTTACAATCGACGCAGGATTATGAAGAGGTTCTTCCTACTCTTTGAAGTACTATCTTACAGTTCAGGATCATTAACACTATGTGCTCATGATTCCCAATGCAGATATAATTTTGGGTGTTGAAAAGATATGGTCGTAGATCATAAGTTCTTTCCGAGTACTGTTTATCCTGAAAATTTCATTAATATCCAGCCTCAGAAATTCATATTTAAAATATATGTCTTAGGTACACAGGAGACATGGCTTCCTCTTGAAGTATGCTATTTTTTATATGCATAGTAGTGTTTGTGGAACTCAAACTAGTCTTTTAAAGTAACACCTCTAAATTTAGGACTCATCTCAATCTTTCTTCACTGAGTGGAATACTACTATTTAAAATTATTTTGATGCGATTCAGATTCCTATATCTTCCCTATTTCTAACAGAAGAGTATAGTTTTCTGAACTGCTTTACAACTCAAATTGCTGTTTTTTAAGATTTTTAGAGTTCATTTGAAAGTACTTTAAAGACTTGAGAACCTAATAAATTTGATAAAATTTTTAATATATCTATAACTATTTTATCATAAACAGATATATTTCAGTCCTCTTTTTACAAATCGTTGCACTTTAATGAATAAAGAAATCTAGAGAACACACTGAGATGTGCAAGGGTTTATATAAACTCTGACTTTGTATTTCATGTTTCTGGTAGTATAAATTCTAAATAGACTTAGTGAATAGCCATGAAAAACTGGTAATGCTCAATGAATCATATATATCTGCTCTAATTCTGATCTGAGTCTGTCTGTGTGCATTCTTAATCGATCCCAAAGCATACCAGAACTATTAAATGAAGAGAGCCCTTGGCTGAAGAATTTTACTCATAATTTACGATGCAAAATTATGAAAGGTGCAGTTAACTTTTACAGTAAACCATAATTTTACTTTATTAATTAGAAATATGAGTTAATAAACCTATTGCTCATACAGTATTCAAAGAAACCTTCTGAAGCTTTCCCTTTATCTTGTTATAACAAGTGACCTCAAACTCTTGGAGGATCCTTTTGAATCCAATATTTATAAGGCTACATTTTCACTTGAAAGAGAGGCTTTGGAGTTCAAAGAACATTAAGGTAGGATAAAACTCTTAGTCTGTCAGGAAACTATTCAAAAACTCTCACTTAGATTATAACAGTTTGTCGATATATCTATAATTTTTATTTGTCTTCCTTAATATTTAAACTTAATATAGACATCTATTGGTGCATATTGGGGTTTTGGGGTTTTGGGGTTTTGGGGTTTTGGGG